ATGAGTCTAGCTCAATACAATTAAGCCCTTGGCTATACAAAATAAATACAATCAAAATAAAGCTTTTGCTCCGAATCTCCCCAAACTACTGTCTTGGAGGAGGCATATCTGCAACACCTGAAAATGATTTTTCCCAAGTAGGGTGAGCCAAAGCCCAGTAGAAACAATTCAACACAATATATGAATCTTAACAAAGATATAAATATGATATGCGTATACAATGTCTGTGACAAAATCATTTACAACTCCTTTGTAAATCATGACATGCCAAGTTTTATATCACAATTCATGTTATCTTAATCCCCTTTTTATCTCAATTCATGAACCGTTTTCATTTATTACAAACAACCAAACTAAGGATACAACTCAAAGGTTCTCAAATCAATATGGTCATATCACACAAACACTTCCATTTGCCATTTTATGGAAATTTCATCCGCGGGAATCGGCACCCATATATACACAATGTTTTCGGGACTTACACCCTGGACACACAAGCCAACTTAATTCAATGGAGTCCATCCCCTTTCTTCTCCTAAACATGGAATACATCCTCTTTCTCCTCCCAAATATCATACACATACAATGTATTAAAACACAGTCATGTTCAATGACAACCGATAAAAGATTAGTTTCAATTCACCTAATCCTCATGCAATTTCTATAATAATCATGGCTATCCTTCACCGATAGCCCAAAACAGATATTTCTAAACAGATATACAATCTCTAAAACAGATAAATTATCCAAATTTCCATAAATGAGAGGTAATACATATACAATTCCACCATTTATATAGGCATCCATCCAATTTCATATTTCCAATACCAATCTCATTTATTTATACAAAATAACCATTTGAGACATTTTAGGACAAAACTCCATTTTCTTCTAAAATTTAACCCATGTGTCAAAATCAATAAATTTAACACAACACATCCTCATATCTACACCCACAACCATTTTCATTACCTTCATTTGAAAACCCCTCTTTTGATTTTAAACCAAAACCCTAGGTTTGTCTAAAATCCTCCAATCCCAACATTAATTTACACAATCAATGAATAACTAAGTTAAAAATCATAAGAGAGTGTAGAAAGTCCCCACCTCAAAGTTAGAAGACGAGCAAAGTAAGGAGAAAACTTCAAAGATGCCGAAACCGACCTTTGTTCGAATCAAAATGGACCTCTTGAGATGCTCTACCTTTTTCCCAAAGACACTAAGTTAGAGAAACTGACGAATCTAGGTGAAAATGTAGGGAGAATGTGAGTTTTAGAGAGAGGGGCTCTGGATCTAGGGTTTTGAGAGAAAAAGAGATGAAAAAGTGATGTAGAAGGAGGCTACTGTGAATTGATATACGCACAGTCCACTCAAGCGCAAGAAGTGAAGCTCGAGGGTCAGACACAATAAGTTGTTCTGCTCGAGCACAATAAATGACGCTCGAGCGCAGAATGCACACCCCCAATAATTTTGCACACAATAGGCCAACGCTCGAGCGTAAAAAGGGTCGCTCGAGCACAGAAAGGACCGCTCGAGCCTAGAATACACTCTCTCAATAGTTTTGTAGACCTGTAAAAGTACTGAGAGTTTACAAAGCCCTCTCGAGGGCAAAAAGTGTCGTTCGAGCGGAGGAGCAAAATTCTGGTCAACAAGAGTTTGGAAACTAAGCAACCAACCTCTCCCAAACGCAACCACAACAATCCCATACCCAAATTTAAGGAGATACAAGGGAAGCAAGATGTGAACAACAATATGAAACCATTAAAGCCGAGTCTGGGATACAACACGAGTCGGGTCAAAAATAGAATCACTATGATTAATTTGATATCAAATTGAGTATGACTAAAACTTTTCATCAAATTGAAGATGAATGAAACTTTTCATCAAATTACTGTAGATAACTAGATGATCGGTCAATTGTCCAGCCAGTTGTCCCTCGGGACATCCACTTCTTTGCAATTTACACTGAGCAATTTACATTGGTCGGTTGATTGGCCGGACATCCGCCCGATCATCTGCCTGGTTGACCGATGATTTGATGAAAGATCAAAAACCTTCATTGGACTGTGCGATATCAATGGAATTTTTACTCAAATTTGATGAAATAAATGAGTAAACGTTGGAGATGCCCTTTGGTGTATGCAATATAATGTTTGTTTTACTTATATGGTTGTAATTTGAATGTCAACAGTAATACTAGCTAATGTGCATTTTAGTTTTAATTTTTTTAGATTGCAAAGCACTGGTTGATGTGTATTGTTTGATATTTAATTTTTTTATATTTGATTTGTTGGGAATTGTAGAGTATAAGCTGGTATGCATTTTTTAATTTAATTTGTTGAGATTGCAAAACATTTGCTGGTGTGTTTTATTTGGTATTTAGTAATTTTTTTTAAAGACATTAACAAGTTTACAATAGTTTTAATTTGTGTAATTTATTTAGTGTTTACAATTTTTTTTTTTAACTTGCTCTTTTATTTTGATTTTCAATATTAGTAAACATTATAAATCTTATATGTTTGTTTCTTAATTTGATTAAGGCTGGGGGAGTTATTATTTTATTTAAGTTCTGTAGAACGTGTAGTACAAGCAAAATTATTACAACTTCTTTAAGAAGAATACTATTTCTTTATATTTTTTCAATATTTTTATTAAAAAGTCAACATGGTACGTGTAAATTATAATTGCATTTTGATCATGGCATTATTTACACAGCACCTTCAAATACAGGCATACACTAATCTATATAATATGGCAAGAGAGTTTATGAAGTCTAAAATGTATCAGAGATACATTTGGTTTTAATGGTCTAAATCTTCCCAAACAAAAAATTAACGGATCATGTTACTTTTTTTCCCGCCTATACACTCTTTGGTCTCTCTCTTCAAAACTTTTTCCAAATTCGTTTGAAAAACATCCCACTCACCCCCAACTTATGCTCCTCTTTCTCTCTCAAAACAGAACACACTCACACTCCTTTCTCATACTCTTCTCACTCCTCTCTTTTCTATCTTATCGCCAACGCAGACCATAGCCGATGTCGACCACCAATTTCCCTCCCCAACCCCCTTCCTCCAAAGGCGACCTTCCCTAGTCGTCCTACATTTTAGGACAAAACTCCATTTTCTTCTAAAATTTAACCCATGTGTCAAAATCAATAAATTTAATGTCTGAGCATGAAAACGGACAAAAGTATCAGAAACTAGATCTCTTACAACCTTCATTTTGCGAGAGTGCAATAACACTGTCAAGAATAGTGCTTCGCATGAAAAATGTCTTTTGCATTCGAAAAACAAAAGAGCACCAGAGACGATTCTGAGTCCATTCTAGGATGGATCTAGGGGGGGCGCGGGCGCGGAGGAGGGGGGCGCACCCCCAAAAATTTGAAAAATATCATATATTATACTAGAAATTTTAAAATAATTTAAAATTATAGGAGTTCGCACCCCTAAAATTTTTTTAGATAATTTCAAAATTATATAGAGTAGCCCCTCCCCAATTTTTTAAACTATTTGGATTTTTTGTTTTTTTTAATTATTTAATATATATAATAATCTATTTTAAATTTCATGTATATGTATTTTTTAAATTAGGTCAAGATGAAAGCAAAATTTTAGACACTTTAGTGGGTCAAAGTGTAAAATATGAAACTTTTACATATATATATATATATATATATATAAGCTAAGACTTGCTAGAGAAGCTTTAAAGAAGCATTAAGATTAAAATAAAGTAAACAAAACAACTGAGAGGCAGCATAAAGAGACGAGACGAGCGACACGGTTACGGAGTGCAACGACGCCTAGCCCTTGTCCTCAAGAAGGTAATCAAATAAATTTGCTCTCAACTTTAATATTCTCATCTTTGATCTTTGTGGCTTTTTTGGGATTAAAGTTATATCATATATGGGTTTGCTTTAATTTGTTGATTTTGGATGCTTAGAGTGAAGGGTATTAAATAAATTTGCATACAGTTGGCTCAATTGTGAGATAGCGATGGATTGAGCTTATATTATACTCATATTTCTGTCTTTGTTGGTTGAAGTTTCAATAATTTATGTCTGAGATTAATTGGGATTTATGCAATATGTTTTCTTTTATTTACTTTAGTAGGGTATTTTGTAAATTTGAACATGGGTGCCCCAATTGTTTGTTAGTTTTTTATTCAAATACAATTATTTTTATGTCTAAGAATTAATGGGCTTATTTGAGGTGATTGTTTTCATATTTATGTCTGTTGATTGAAGTTTGAATATGGGTGGTCCAATTGTTTGCTAGTTTGTGATTCAGGTACAATTGTTAAGTTAATCATGGCAAACAAAAAAATTGATTTCTTCTTTAAGAAAAGAGGTTCTGAAAATATCGTTCAAAGTTCCACCAATAATGTTGAAACTTCAACTCCTCTGGAACAACATCCTTCTAAACTTCCAAGAGTCGAATCTAAAGATGTTGATACATCTTCTTTGGTGAGGGATCCAGGGTTGCGTCAACAAATATGGGATTACCCGGTATCTAAACGTGATGAGATCAAACGTGCTTATATCAAATCCGGGCCATATCAACCCAAGGCTCCGAACAATCAACCTTTTGAAACTGATAAGAATGGGCGTCATTTTTTAGATTCTTGGTACAAGTTATTTCCGGATTGGTTGGAATACTCTCCAACAAAAAATCGTGCGTTTTGCCTTCCATGTTTTCTTTTTACTAAGCCAACTGGACGCCCTGGATCTAGTGCTTTTACAGTAGAGGGATTTTCTTCTTGGAAGAAAGTCAATGAAGGGAAGAATTGTCCTTTGTTATCGCATATGGGCAAGGATCCTAACTCATCGCATAGAGTTGCTATCAAATGTTGTTGTGATTTAACAAATCAAGCGCAACATATTGAGGCAATTATTGAAAAACAAACTTCCATACAAATTGCTAGAAATCATTTGCGATTGAAGACCTCGATAGATGTGATTAAATGGTTAACATTCTAAGCCTGCTCTTTCAGAGGTCGTGATGAACGCCACGAATCTAACAACTGATGTTATTGAGTTGATAAAGCTCTTGGCTTCTTATAATGAGGATGTGGCAGTAATGGTTTTGGAAAATGCTCCTCAAAATGCTTCCTATCATTTCCATGGGATTCAAAAGCAAATTCTTAGTATTTTCTCTGATAAGATACAAAGATTCATTCGTGAGGAGATTGATGATGGGAATTTTTGCATTCTAGTTGATGAATCTGAAGATGAATCGAAAAGAGAGCAAATAGCAATTGTTTTGAGATTTGTTGATAAATATGGTTTTATAAAAAAGCATTTCTTTGACATAGTTCATGTGTTAGATACCACGTCGGCAACTTTGAAAGAAGAAATTTGTATTGTCCTTTTTCGCCATAACCTTAGTGTGCAAAATATTCGTGGTCAAGGATATGATGGTGCCAGTAACATGTCTGGAGAATGGACTGGGTTGTAGGCTCTATTTTGTGCTGAGTGTCCATTCGCATATTATGTTCATTGCTTTGCTCATCGGCTCCAATTGGCTTTAGTAGGAGCAACTAAACAGGTTATATCTATCAATCAATTTTTCTCTTACTTGACTCGAGCAATTAATATAGTTGGTTCATCTTGCAAAAGACATGATTAATTAAGAGCTGCTCAGGCTACAGATATTGCTGAAAAGCTTGCCATTGATGATGAATTCGAGACTGGTAAAGGAAAAAATCAGATTGGAACATTGAAACGGGCTGGAGATACTCGATGTGGTTCTTATTTGGGTTCCATTTGTAGTTTGATAAACATGTTTAGTGCTACTTGTGCAGTCCTAAGAAACATAATTAATGATGGAAGCAAATCGAATCAACGAGCTAAGGCAGATGGAGTTTATGATTCCATTATATCTTTTGAGTTTGTCTTCATCTTACATCTTATGAGGGACATCATGGAGATTACTGACGATCTTTGCCAAGCTTTGCAAAGTAAATCTCAAGATATATTAAATGCAATGCATTTGGTGTCTACAACGAAGATACTTATTCAAAAATTTAGAGAAGATAGATGGGTTCCATTGTTGGAGAAAATTAAATTATTTTCTAATGATCATGGTATACAGATTCCTGATATAAGTTGTCCTTATAAAAGAGGCCGAGGTCGGTCTCATTCTGAAAGAGATCAGCTCACCATGGAACATCATTTTCGAGTTGATATTTTTATGGTTACAGTTGATTCCCAATTACAAGAATTAAACAATAGGTTTAAGGAAGATGTAATGGAATTGCTTGTTCTTAGCTCAGCTTTGGATCCTAGGGATGGTTATAGATCATTCAACATTGAGGATATTTGCAAACTTGCAAATAAATTTTATCCCATGGATTTCTCCGAGCAAGAAAAATTGCATTTGAAGTATCAGTTGGAAAACTATAAGCTTGATATTTCCATACTTCCCGAGTTTCAGAAGCTGTCAACCATTTCTGAGTTGTGTCAAATGTTGGCTAAAACAAAAAAGTCGACAAGTTATCCTCTTATTGATAAATTGATCCGTCTTGTGTTGACTTTACCTGTTTCAACTGCTGCATTGGAATGTGCATTTTCAGCTATGAAACTCGTTAAGTCTAAATTGCGCAATAGGATAGAAGATGGTTTTCTGGCTAGTTACTTGATTACGTACATTGAAAAAGACATTGCTCGAGGGTTTGATGTAGACTCTATCATCGATGCTTTTGATATTATGAAAGAGCATTGAGCTCAATTGAAGATGCCTAATTTTAGTAAATAAATGCATGTATAAATAGTTACTACTTTTTGTAAGTGAATATGGGAAAAAAAATATTCTCAATTGTATGATCATCTTTTGGTAATCAACTATGTTGACAAGGAATATATAGTTCAATATTTTATCATAACATTATTGATTTTTTTCATACTAGTAGAAATTGGTATTGAATTTCAAATTTTATTGGTTAGAGGTTAAACGTACTTTGGCCCCCCCCCCCCCCCAAGTCATAATCCTGGATCCGTTCCTGAGTCCATTGATATTCATCACCTCTCGCCATCGACATCGCCTCTCGCCATTGCCGTTAAGACCTAGCCATCCAGATCTGGAATATGGAAAAATTTAGATCTAAATCTAAATTGGAGAGAAAAGCAAGAATGGTGGAGTAGTTGAGGAAAAAAAAAAGAAAAAAGAAAATGAATTTATGTTGATGTTGATATATTACAAACAAACAATTTTTGCAATTTACGTTTATGTATAATATTTTTTGGGTTTGAATTTGTGTTGATATATTATATTTTTTCCAAATCTTTTTCATCTTTTTGTTGTAAAAAGTTATCCAACACAAGCACTTGCTGTTGATGACGAGAAGAAAGTTACTAGTTTGATGATGAGAAGCTACCAGTTTGAGAGGAAGAGATAGAAGAAGAAGAAAGAGGGCTTTTGTTTGAGAGAAAAAAAGCTACTAGTTTGGAGAGAGAGAAATAGAGTTTCGTATGAGAAAAAGGAGAGAAAAGACCGTTTCAAAGAAAAAGAGGCGCATGTTGTGGGTTTGTTTTATGTTGGCCGTTTCAGAACACCTCTCCGATTGGTCGCTGGTCTTTTGCGTCTTTTTTTCAAACGCCGGAGTTATTGTGTGAAGGATGAAGCAAATTTAATTGATTGACTGTGTTTGCTGGCAGTGGGAGTATTTCAGTGCTTCTCCGTGGTATGCATCACTGGAGTTCTGGGTTCATCAGTAGCGTTTTTTGCTGGGGGTGGTCATTGCCAGTTTGTTTCCAAAGTGAATATGCATCGATTTTTTGGGTGCTAGTTTAGGTAGTAACTGGCCAAAGTTTTGCAGTATTTGGGAAAGACAAAAAGCAAATGTTTGGTTCAACTAGGCACATGTCTGGGATACATGGGGCTTTTCCCATATTAAGCCAATTTACTATCTTAATTCCCAAACTAGGCCTAGTTTGGACGGAATTCCCAAACTAAGCTAAAGCGCTATTACAAATCACGCTTTCACTATTTGGAGCCGAAAATGTAATGAATAGTGAAAGCGCTATTACAAACCACGCTTTTAACATAAATTTTTTTCCCCAAAAAACGTAGTTAGAAAGCACACTTTTAAGCAAAAAAAAATTTCTACAAAAAATGTGGTTCCAAACCACGCTTTTACTGTGCTTATAATTAAATTTTGTTAGGAAACGTGGTTCCAAACCACGCTTTCACTGTGCAGAACTATTTCCTTAAGAAAACTTTTAATATATATTAAAATGTGATCAAAGCAAGACTTGAGTTCTTTGTAGCTCAAATGGTAGTGTAATTGTTATGCTTGGCAGAGGCGCAGGTTCAATCCATGCCAACTCTTTTTTCTTTTTTTCTTTTTTTCTTTTTTTTTTCACTTTATACTTTATATATTTATTATGTAATTTTTTTATCAAAAAAAAGTAAAACATTTGTTTGGTTAACTAAAATTTTTTTCTATAAAATACAATTTTTTTCAAAATGTCAACATAATTGCTTAAAAAATATTCAGTGTATTTGGTTTGTGTTTTTTGGATTTAGTTATTTGAAAATTGAGTTTTTTAATTTTCGTATTTTTTTTATTTTTAGTGAATATTTTTAAAATTTTAAACATTTTTTTTTACTTTTTTAGATACACCTTAGTTAGATATATCTAAAAAGTAAAAAATTTGCGAAAAAATATTTTAAAAAATTAATAAATACATAAAAATACCAAAAATGTACTAAAAAAATATTTTTGTATTTTAAGTATTTTTTCAGCAAAATGTACAACTCCGCCGGGGTTGTTAACAACTCCGTCGATCCCAAGCCCAGGTTAAGGAGGAGGGTTGTGTGTTAGGTAGCCGACAGCCAACACGTAAAAAAGCCGCTCGGATCCCTTATGAAAATGAATCCTACTTTGAATCATTTAAATGCTAGGTCGTTCCCCTTAAGTGACGCGTTGCGCCTGCCTCCGGGTGTTTCGAAAAGTGAGCAAGGGGCGCCGCATCGACGCGTGGGTGCGGTGAAAAATAGGCAAAGGTTTCCGCGTTTTTCTGGACGAGCGCGGGTAAAGAAGCTAGTCCAAGACTGTAGGTTTAGGATAGCCACTTGGAACATAGGAACCTTAACTGGTAGGACGATGGAATTGGTAGATGTTATGATTAGGAGGAGAGTTAGTATAGCTTGCATACAAGAAACTAAGTGGACGGGAGAGAAAGCTAGGGAAATTGAGGATACTGGTTTTAAACTTTATTATAGTGGTAAGGATAGACGCAGGAATGGGGTAGGAATCATAATTGCCAAGGGTCTTGTGGAAAGTGTGGTGGCGGTCACTAGGAAAGGAGATAGGATTATGCTAGTTAAACTAGTTATTGGAGGGAATATAGTGAACATTATTAGCGCTTACGCCCCTCAAGTAGGGTTAGATGATCAGACTAAGAGGGATTTTTGGGAGCAAATGGATGAGATCTTACAGGAGATACCCGTAGGAGAGAACCTGGTTATAGGTGGAGATTTTAATGGCCATGCGGGCATAGATAAAGTAGGTTATGAAAGGGTGCATGGTGGATACGGTTTTGGTGACAGAAATGAGGCTGGAGAGAGAATCTTAGATTTTGCGTTGGCTTCTGGACTGGTGGTGGCCAATACTATGTATAAGAAGAGGGAGGAACATTTGATAACCTTTAAGAGTGGATTAGTTAAGCGCCAAATAGATTATTTTTTAGTGAGAAAAGTGGACTGCCTAAAATGCATTGATTGTAAGGTGATTCCTGGAGAGGGTCTGGTCTCTCAACATAGGATTTTGGTACTAGATTTATGTTTTAGAGGGCAATACCAAGCTAGGAAGGATGGTGGGCGTCGTAGGACGAGATGGTGGGACTTAAAAGGGGATAAACTAGAAATATTTAAGAATCGAATGGATAAGGAAGGTACTTGGGACTTAGAAGGTGATGCTAACACTATGTGGAATTCGATAGCCAATTGTATGAGGAGAATCTCAAGGGAAGTGCTTGGAGAGTCGAAAGGAACGGGACCCAGCTCTAGGGAAACTTGGTGGTGGAGGGAAGAGGTCCAAGCGGTAGTTAAGGCAAAAAAAGAGTGCTTTAAAAAGTGGCAGAAGGATAGAACTGAGGAAAACCTTAAGAGCTATAGATTGGCTAATAAGGAGGCCAAGAAAGTAGTGAGAGAGACTAAGTTGAAAGTTTATGATGACCTATACACTAGACTAGATAATAAGGAGGGAGAGAAGAAGGTATACAAACTTGCTAAGATACGGGAGAGGAAAACAAGAGATTTTAATCAAGTAAAGTGCATCAAGAGTGAGCATTCTAAGGTATTGGTGAAGGATGATGAGATTAAGGTGGAAGAATTATTTTGAGAAACTGTTAAATGAGGAACATGGAAGTACGACAATAGGGGAAGAAATAATCAGTAATACGATAAACCAAGACTATAGGTTCTATCGCAGGATTAGGAACTTTGAAGTGGAGATTGCACTTAAGAAGATGAAATCAAATAAGGCTTTAGGACCTGATGATATACCTATTGAAGCCTGGAAGTGTTTGGGTAAAAAGGAAGTTGCTTGGTTGACTAGGTTGTTTAGCAAAATTTTGTTAACTAGGAACATGCCAGATAAGTGGAGGAAGAGTATTTTAGTGCCAATCTATAAGAATAAAGGTGATGTCTAGAATTGTAACAACTATAGAGGAATTAAGCTAATGTGTCATATAATGAAAGTGTGGGAGAGGGTGATGGAACGCCGATTGCGAGACATAACAGAGGTGTCAGAGAATTAATTTGGGTTTATGCCTGGTAGGTCAACAATGGAAACAATCTATCTTTTGAGGAGAGTAATAGAAAAGTATAAAGAAAAGAAAAGAGACATTCATATGGTGTTTATCGAACTTGAGAAAGCATACGACAGAGTGCCTCGAGATATAATATGGTGGGCGTTAGAGAAGAAAGGGGTGACAAAAGGCTACATTGACGTGATTAGGGACATGTATGAAGGGGTGATGACCACTATTAGATCGCCAGCTGGAGAAACAAATGAATTTCCTGTCACTGTAGGGTTACACCAAGGATCTACCTTAAGTCATTATCTTTTTGCTTTAGTTATGGACGAGTTGACGATAAATATTCAGGATGACGTGCTATGGTGTATGCTTTTTGCAGACGATATTGTGTTAGTGGATGAGACTAAAGAAGGAGTTAACACAAAGTTGGAGATTTGGAGAAAAGCTCTTGAATCTAAAGGATTTCGGATAAGCAAAACTAAGACAGAGTACATGGAGTGTAAATTTAGTAACAGTAACAATGAAAGCAGAGTAGAAGTGAAGATTGAAAACCAAGAACTGCCTAAGAGTGAACATTTTCGTTATTTAGGGTCGATTATCACAACAGCAGGAGAGATTGATGCAGATGTGGCCCATAGGATTAAGGCGGGATGGTGTAAGTGGAGAAGTGTGTCTGGGGTATTGTGCGATAAACGAATACCCACTAGACTAAAAGGTAAGTTTTATAGAACGGCTATTAGACCAGCTATGTTGTATGGGACGGAGTGTTGGACAACCAAGAAACAACATGTAGATAAGATGAGTGTGACTGAGATGAGGATGCTAAGGTGGATATGTGGTAAGACTAGACAGGACAGGATTAGGAATGAGTGTATTCGGGAATGGATAGGAGTAGTACCGATAGAAGATAGGTTGAGAGAGAATCGTTTGAGATGGTTTGGTCATATTCAACGGAGACCA